AACGCAATATCCAAACTAATCATGCATAGCGTCGTTTTGTAGGTTATGTCAAGACCTTTCAAATTATGTATAGTATTGCCAGATACGAGCTCTGTAGCGCTTTGTACATAGCCGCGAAATTCAAAAGACAAAAAGGCGGAAGGGAGATATTTGACAACCTACTATTTGTATGAAATAAATTTATTCTCAGATAAAAATGTTACGTGTCTGTGTCTCGCTTCGCACGCTCATTGAAATAAATATATTAAATTTATAACACACAATTATGACAAAATTATGAAGGAATATTTAATAAGATTACGATATTGTATATTTTACATTGATATTCTTAACTTTATTTAAAAGCTATTATAGCCTTGACATTTTTGTATTAGAATTTTCGGCTTGAATGTTTTTATTCTAAAAGAGAAAAACATTTTAGCTCCCAAAATAAATTTATCTTATTGAATTTAAATACATTTTTAATGTTACACATGTGACTTAATGTGTGTGTATTAATTCTATTATGGCTGCGTTCGGGGAGACGCTATTTAGCGCTATGAGCGTGCTCTGTCCTTGTTACTTGCAAAAGTTGAACAAGGACAGAGCACGCTCATAGCGCTAAATAGCATCTCCCCGAACGCAGCCCTTATGTACTTAGCCCTCTAAATATAGTATAATGAAAAGTGTATAAACCGAACAAACAAAATTCTATGACATTAAAGATACACTTTGCTCGAAAAGATCTCTGTTCGATTTTACGAATGCAAAATATCTATGAATTTCTGGGTAAATATTTACGATATTTCACCCCCTCCCCCCCCAAATGACTTCTGGTTAACCTTGATGTTGCCCTTGACCTCTAAGGAGGTCAAGTCCATTGATATTTCCCCTTGCTCATTGTTCGTTGAAGATTTATTAAAAAAAGAAGTTTTATAAATGCTATGTATGTAGTTTACAATACTATGTACGTTTAAAAAGGACACACGCACAAGCGCGGGTGGTGGGATGCAAGGGGACCCTCAGCCCCCTACCCGCACCCACCCCGCCGGTAGGGTGGGTGGACCTCACTTGCAGGAACCGTACAACGATGGAAGTATTGTAGTTTCCACTCGAAAGCCGCGGAGAGCGGGAGTCGAACTCACTTCGTACTGTTTCTGTCAATGTAAGAATATGTTCATGAAAATCTGTGTAAACATTGTTTTGCTTACAAACTTAGTTGTTCATACAAAACGAAGTTCATCTCGCATCGCCCCCTGTTTCAAGGCAAAACTACTTTCATCATTATTACAGTTCTGCATGGATTATGTCAACTTTCCACACAATAGTGGAAAACTACGTCACATTTTTGTAACTTCTTTTTTTTAATAACTTTCGAAAGAAAAATGAACGACGGAATATGTCAGTGGGCTTGACCTCCTTAGAGGTCAAGATCAACATCAAGGTCAACCAAAAGTCATTTGGTGGGGGATGACTTATAGTAAATATTGTCTCTTCGCATATATGTATAACATTACGCAATCCTCCTCAACATGTTACGTAATTAGAAATCAATTATATAACAGAAATCTATCTGTTAATTTTTCTGTTTGTTCATCCACAAGTCTTAGTGACAATGCATTTGGAATTTTTCTTATACATTTACAATATTTTAAGTATAAATTATTTAATATAAATCATATAATATAGTTAATTAATATAATGTAATTCGATATCGCTGCTTGTAGATGGTATCGCAGCGCAATCAAAATTATGCTGGTGAATTAATTTTGATGTAAACTTTATTTGCTTCACAACTCTCGAAGGTAGGCTATATTATGCATGAAAATCTCAGCTAAGTTAATTAAATTTTCAGTTATCAACACAATAATACTTCTCTTACATAGTACTTCTTAGCTGTATGATCTTAATAAAAAAAAAGAACAAACAGTAGTTGCAACGTACTTATAAGCGTTCGGTCCAATATTTTTTTCAACTTACTTGTGAACATAAATCTACAGTATTTTATATTGTTCATGTAATTTGCCTTCATATGTATAATTGTAGATCAAACTTCAATATTATTGAAAATTTTCATATATACAGGTGAAACAGTCCGAGAAATAGTATAAGAAATTTTTTCCGAATATTTTTAACGCCATTCTTGTTTGTTACAATGTGATTTGACGCTGAGACAGACAGATACATGTGATAACACATTGAAGATGCACAAAAAATAAGTTAGCACTTCTTGTTCTCTTACGTAAGTTCTACTACACTGTAATTTTAAATTCTTAAGAAAAAGACAAAAAATGTATTCAACGTCATTGCATGATACTTACATTGAATAATATTGATGTTTTTTTTTATTGTCCGTAAGTAATATTAAGTTAAAAAGCAAATTTAAATTTAAATTAAAGCTATTAAAATTATTTTTAAATTATTAAAATTCTTGTTTAACGAAAAAATAGATTGTTAAGCTTCCTCTTGTTTCTATTTTGACATAAACAATGAAATACTTTTGATATAATTAATTTTTTTTATAGAACAGTGCGATGTTTGCCAAATTTAATTATACGAAGGTATAATTTATATTTTTCTACCAAAATAAAATTGTGAATAAAAATTTGTTTTTCATTCTGCAAAACAGATTTTTATTTTTAATCTTTATTTATTGTTAATGAATTTTTTTTATCAAACATACCTTTGTAATTAATTATATTACATTAATTCATATACATGTGCCAGTAAAGGAATATGCGCGCGCGCGAGCGCGCACGCTCATGCCACGCCCACAAAACACACACGCACACGCACACGTGCACGCACATACACACAAATCCTAAAAAATACATGAATCAATTATAAACTTCTTTCATTCCCCTTTACCCTCGACGGTTTATTGATTATACTTAATTAATTCTTTTCTTGCGCTGTTCCCCCACTTGAAACTGTTAGTCTATGTGATCATGCGCAGAATAAAAATACTGTACTGAATTGTAGTGTATAACATTATTTTGCTTCGACGCATGTGTCATAAAAATTGGAATGAGGGGATGTTTTAAAAGGAGGGATTCTGCAATATATAGAAGCTCAATCAGTTTGTGTTACTTTTGGTCTTACATTCGTTAAGATCGTTTTAGAGTGCTTACGTTTGCTACTTTGTAGAAAAATCTTGTAAAACATGTTTATTGCAGTCTTTACTTTTCTGTTTGTGACAGCATACGCTGCAGATGATTTACGTGAGTCAACAAATATAAGCCACATATTGTATATTTTAGTTAGATGTATGTACGTTATATTAATTTTCTATCAAAAGATGCAAGAAATACACCTGTTTTAAGTTTATGTCGCTTTATACTGTGAGCAGCTTTTATCGCGATAATTAGATAGTTTACAATTTGACAAATGTTATAAAATAAATAACTGTACGTAAATAATTCATTAATTAATTGCAACACACATAAATAAAACCAAGCTTGATTGTTTATATTTTTCTGACGTAAATGTTCCGTTATTATACATTTTGCACTTCCGCCTAGAATGCGGAATCTACGTGTAAGTGCGAAAGAACATTTCGAAGGCTTGTAATTCTTTTTATAAGCTGCCGAAATGTATAAGATTAAAAGAGATTAAAATTTATTGTTTGTATGTATAAGATAATGTATAAGATAAAAAGAGATTACATTCTATTTAAATTTACAATATATTGGTGTATGCTATATTTATTTACACTTCATTTATGAATAATGCTAGAACAAAATCAGTTAGGCAATAGAAGTCAATATTAGTTAAACTGTGAAAAATGAATAGAACAATCGGTATCTGTATATGTAAATATATAATATCGATTTTGGGAGTGTGAACTTTGTTTAGCAATGTAACTTTAATTGACTAAAATTTCGAGATTATTATACTAATCTCGAAATTTTATCTCTACTAGACTAGACATAGTATAAAGCGACTAGACTACATATCTCTACTAGAAATTCATATACTGAAAATATTTTTTATATGAAATTATAATTTACTTATTATATCGATAAAAAAGTTTAAAGTCTGTGCTTATAGAGGGTGTTATGTAATACCCGTCTCGCCTCATATTTACAGATAAAGCGGGCTGGACTGAGTTGAAAAGTTCTGTACCATTTTGCAATTTTCGCAATAGTTGACGAGTTATTAAGTATTAAAAATCGTTGTCTTAGCCTGATCTACCGTCCAATTCAAACGCGCGGCGAGATGCGGCCGTCCCGAGATCGGCGTTGCTAGGTGCGCGGGAAGTTTTTTATTACACGTAGCAGTTGCCGTGTGTCATCGCCGATCACGGAACGGCCGCATCTCGTCGCGAGCTCGAACTAAGCGGTAGGCCGGGATAAGACAGCGATTTTTAACAATTAATAAATCATTAACTATTGCGAAAATAGTTAAATAGTAGAGGGCTTTTCAACTCACAATCAGTCTAATCCGCTCTATCGGTAAATAAGAGGTGAGGCGGGTATTACATAATGTTCTGTATAATAGCTATCATATGCAGGATTGATTGTTATTACATTTAATATAACAACTTGTTTCATAATAAGTGAACAAAAAAATTAGTAGAAACTGCGCACAACGCGACTCTGTTTAACTGTTTTATTAATGATCGGAATAATTAAATCCTTGAAATGATGAAATATTCATATACTCAATTATACCTATATCACAAAGTAGGTATATCTGTGATAATGAGACGTGAATCTATGATAATGAGACGTGAATCAGATTTCATAATAATATCTCAGTAATCTTTACGTAATCAAATTGAGATATTTTCTATTATTTTTTGATACATTTTGTTGAGTGAGGCCACGTCTATCTGAGATCTTCTTAAATATTGCAATTATTAATGGTATGAAGCAATAAGTTAAAAATGCTTGTTTTTTCTGCTTCCTTGTTATTATATGAAACATATTTACGAAATTTTTAGTATGTCTACTTAATTTAACGATTCTAGTTAGCTTCATCTATTATAAGTTTTATGTAACTCAATGACAAAATTTTAACAGTTCTATTATTAAAAATGTATAATGCGTATGCAACTTAATAATAACTTTTTAAAGATTAAAATAATTTATTGTAAACAAATGCAAGGAACGTATATTATTTTAAACAATATATGGTAACAAGCCAATGTGGGTCACAAGGCAAAATGTAGGTAGCCCAACTTGCAAATTTTAAATCTTTCTGAAAATCATGAATCTATATACCGTTTTTTTCCACATTAGTACTACGCGCCGATTTCTTTTCCGGATATAACGCAGTTTATCATATACGTGGAAATATTGTCGTCAGCAGATTCACGTATTCGATTCGATGATTATTTTTCAAATGCAATTCGCATTTTTCTGATGCTATATTTAGCATTCAGTCCCCTCCCTCCCCCCATTTTTCCCCGTCCTGTAAATTAATTTTATTGCGAAAAATATTACCCCAACCACGATTCGAACCTGGGACCTCCCTCAATCCGTGACGGGCGTCTTACCTGCTCGACCACTGGGGCTGTGATAATATTTTTCGCAATAAACGGTATACTTTAGAAGGAACGCTAGTTTGCAGGCAAGCGTTTAAAGAACAAGTAACTTTCCAGTGGTCGAGCAGGTAAGACGCCCGTTACGGATTGAGGGAGGTCCCAGGTTCGAATCCTGGTTGGGGTAATATTTTGCGCAATAAAATTAATTTACAGGACGGGGAAAAATGGGGGAAGGGAGGGGATTGAATGCTAAATATAGCATCAGAAAAATGCGAATTGCATTTGAAAAATAATCATCGAATCGAATACGTGAATCTGCTGACGACAATATTTCCACGTATATGATAAACTGCGTTATGTCCGGAAAAGAAATCGGCGCGTAGTACTAATGTGGAAAGAAACGGTATATAGATTCATGATTTTCAGAAAGATTTAAGATTTGCAAGTTGGGCGACCTACATCTTGCCTTGTGACCCACATTGGCTTGTTACCATATATTGTTTAGTTTTAGATAGGGGTCTTACTTGAAAGTTACTTGTTATTATTTTACTTACGAAAATATTTTTTTAATTTAGAAATAATTATTGTATTCCAGCTTATTTTATCTTAGATGATTTATTTCTTTATAGCCTCCTACGTTCATGTGTGTGGTTACAAAGATCCGAACTATGATCAATGCATCCTGGACAATATCAACAATATGAAGGCAATGGTTTGTACAGGGATGCCAGAATTGAACGTTCCTCCGACAGAGCCAATAATTGTTGACAAAATAGTTATTTTCGATACGAATAATCTTAAATTATTTCTCCAAGACACAAAAATATTTGGATATTGCGATTTCATTGTACAATCTTTTAAAGTGAACGTTGACAAGTATCGCCTCAATGTTGATTTCTTACTTAAACATCTTAAACTGGAGACCTTATATGACATTGATATACGTTTGTTGGTGACATTCGCTAATAAGGGATTAGTTCACATTTTTGCAGGTATATAAAATAGTAAATCTTACATTAAACTAAGATTAAAATTTAGAACGGTGTATTTTATTATAGGAAATTGTTCGTATTTCATTGAAATTATCAAACTATGCTGTTTTTTTTACAGATGACGTAGAAGGAAAACTAGACGTAGAATTAAAAAATGTAACCAAGAATGGTAAAACAGAAATATATGCATCGAAGATAAGCACGAATTTCGATATTCTAGATAAAAAATTTACGTACGAGTTCGACGACAATGAGAAGAACTTGATTCCACTACATCAAGCTATTAGAAATATCGTGAGTGAAAACGAGAAGGAAATTCTGGCTAAAATTAAGCCGATAGCAGAAGAGAAGACTTCTCAAGTGCTTATTTCAGTTATTAATAACATAACTTACCATAGATTTGATCAATTGTTTCCCGAGAAAACACCATAAATCACCTAGAACCTTGTGGTTCATTACTGTAGAATGTGATATGCATCATATGATGCATCTGTTCTGACTAAAGAATAATTGAAATATATCATGCATAAATATATCAAATTATTAATAAAATAACATTATTTTAACCATTGACGATATTTTATTTGAGTTGGACAATGAAAAGAAATGTTTAACTTTTATCAATAGATTGCCAGCGCGTAACAGCCTAGACTTGTATGAAATAAGTTTATAGTCGGTTAAAATTCTTATTTGTGTCTATATCACTTCGAACGCTACGCTTATTGGGATAAATATATTAAACTGTAATTTGTGATATATAATAATTATAAAATCACTTAGGAAAATTTAATAAGATTGCGATATTGTATTTTATTATACATTTATGTACATAACTTTTATTGCTTGAAATTAATAATTTCTTACTTAAGTTTTTGTAAAATTATATCTCTGTTATTTATGTATTGTGACTGAAAGAATTAAATTTCATTTAATCTCATTTCGCATCCTTACATATTAAACAAATATATAATATACAATATTTGAAACCACACTTTCTCGAGTACAAATTTTGATTTTAATTTTTCATTTATTACTCGTAAAATTTATTTAATATAATAATAGACATTATTTAAATACTTTTGGAATGTTAGTCGCAAACTCTTAGAACGAATGAAATATTACTGGAGGAAAACGTCAAGAAATTGATGGTAAACAAATATATTTATATAATGTATAATATAATGTATTTTTAAAAACCGGCCTAGCCAGTATAAATTTATACTGAATTCTGCGTAGTTTTAAACTTGTTCCACAAAATAAAAATTGGTTCCCCTTTGACATGCTCTCCCACTTTAAATTTACTGTAGGATCATGCGACCATGTAGGAGCAAATAAAAGACAAGAAAAGGAGTATAATTAATAAAGATGACATTTTCAGTTTCCGCATGTGCATTGATATAAAAGTAAGAATTGAGGGGAAAAGTCTATTGAAAAGTATGTTTTACGAAAAATCATTTAGTAAGAATTTTAGATTTAAGAGATTGTGTCCATTGACATTTATTATCATTGAGTTAAGAAGAATAACACATATCAATGTCAATTTATAATCAAAAGCCAATTTTCATAAAAATGTATCAGGTTTGTCTAAGTAATGTGCTTTTATGGATAGAATAAACAGGTATGTTCAATTATCTTTAGAAAAACTACGAAAAGTCTGTTGAAAAGTATGTTTACGAAAACTCATTTAGTAAGAATTTTAGATTTAAGAAGTAAATAAGAACCGATATGTACATACTATCTGAATCTATAATTCCGGCAGATAATCGAAAATTTATTTATTTTGTACCATATACCTATTGGACATTATTTGTTCCTAAAGGTCAATTCTTTTAAACGAGTTATAATTTCTTGGCCAAATATAAGAACCGGTTATTAAGTCGATGTAGGATTTGCTCGAATCATTACTTTTCGGGTTTTTTTATAGAATTAGTGAAACGGCCGTTAATTATTTTTTTGCGCAACATTACGTTCTGATGACATTCGAAATAAAACGAATAAAACACAGACATGCAATGACATTTTTATTCTATATATGTGTCATTTTATATATGTGTTAGGACTAAGAGGATATTTTAAAATAGAGAGATTCCACAGCATACCTATATAAGATCGAACCCATGTTCATCTTTTTTATACTTGCTGGACATCCATTACAACAACTATCGTTAGTGTGTGGTTTTAAAAGGTGCAAAAGGATTAGTTCATTTTACAAGAAAATTCTTTCGTGTACAAGATGTTTGTTGGACTTTTTGCTGTTTTCGTTGTGATACCATACGTATCACCAACGAAATTACGTAAGTAAATGAAAATATTTGTTACAATTTCATTTGGATAATATACAGAAGAGAGTCCTCTATTATGAGATAGGATTCTAATACGGGATAGCAGGTTTTCAACGTTCAAACTCAATCACAAATCTTTTTTGCAACGATTACACGATCTAACAATCAATTTTCCACTAAACAGAAATTTCACTCCGAGTGCAATAAATTCATGGTGTTACCAATTATTGTTTATTGCGCGCGCACACGTATATATTCAAGTGCTTCTCCCCCTCTCTCTCACTCACTCATGTGTGTTTAAATGAAAATGCTCTTTAATTTATTTGCATTATTTGCATAATTAATGGCATAAATAGACTAAATGCATAGGTAACTTTAATACATTATAAAATCCGTAACTTTGGTACAACATAAGGATATAACTTTGATACATCATAATTCCGCGAAAGAAATCGTACAGACTTCAATTTTTTTTAATTTGTAGGGGAAAGTTCATATTTTACAATGGTTCTTATAGAACTTACGAAAAAAATTCATCGCACCCCGTGAAGCGCGTCAAACTATGAAAAGTTTTGCAGACGCCAAGTTACGATTATTTGAAGTTGAGTGAAATTTTAGTACACATTTTTGTTGCGTTAATTTTGTTGCGCAGTGTAGATTCGCTAAGTTTAATATCTTTTACTTTACGACGACGTTCTAAATATGCCTCTCTAAATCTGAATCAGGGGAAAAGTCACTGATTGAATTAGTAACGTCTTACATCGCTGATGAAACAGTGAAACATGGCCGAACGCGCTGTGCAATCAGCGAGAACGGCGAAGTTCACTGATTCGTCAGTGGTTATATCGTTCTGCATTTATTTAGTGGCCTCTGAGCAAGTTCGTGCGTGAGTTTATAGTTTATCTCCAGAGAATCTTTTATTGGGGTAAGTCATTAATAAGTATACACACATTACTAAGTAAAAATTTTTGCGTTATTGAAAGAAAAAATCGATGTATGGTATGAGAACTGGCATGTGAGCCGACCGTACGCCAGTTCTTATACCATATAGTACATTAGGTTATATTGTAGTTTAGGGTTACGTTCCGAAACATTCTTCTCTGAGGAAAATTTTATTCGATGGCCATTCCGAAACTTTTTAGAGAATTTCTGATTGGTTCGGATCCATCTCTCAAGTAAAATTTTTCTCGGAGAAGAAGGTGACGTAACCTTCTACGTTGCTTTGTGCCAGGACATTGTGTGTACATTCACTAATCAATAAGTAAACTTTTAACTGATTAAATCAGCATATCTTCGCTGATTCATTCAGCATCCGATCAGTTCACTGATTTACCAGTTGAATTTAGCTGATTATCAGTGGCATACTTAGGGCTGATAAATCAGTGAATATAGTCACTGCCAATCAGCGACTATCCACTGATTCAGATTTAGAGAGTGAATATTCCTTATTGTCGAAATTAGTTACGATATGTGACTTTCGTAAAACATCTTTAAATAGACTGTTTATTGCGATAAACATTGCCACATGTCTTGGTGATCGAATGGGTGAGACGCGCGCTTAAATTAGAGTGAGGGAGGTCCAGATTCAAATCCTGGCTGAGGTAAATGTTTCGCACTAAATTTAAAAATTAAAATCCTTTAGACACTAAAGTCAACGGCACACGATACTATTTTTCCTACTGGATTCCTTACGAGAGCCATTCTGATTGGCTCTCGTAAGCAATCCAGTAGGAAAAATAGTATCGTGTGCCATTGGCTTAACATCCCGCCTTGGTTCTTACATCCTTGATTACTTTGTATTATTCTCATAAATATGTCATGTACTTAGAAATTAATTATACATATAAGAGAAATCTATCTGTTAAAACCTTTCTATTTGTTCATCCACAAGTCTTAGGGACAATGCAATTGGAATTTTTCTTATACATTTAATGTATTTTAAGTATAAATTATTTAATATGAATAACATAACATAGTTAATTAACATAATGTAATTCGATATCGATGCTTCTGGATGGGGGATCCTAGCGCAAGGAAAATTATGCTAGTGAATTAATTTTGATGTGAACTTTATTTGCTTTGCATGACTCGAAGGTAGGCTATGTTATGTGTTATGCATGAAAATCTCAGTTAAGTTAATTAAATTTTCAGTTATCAACACAATAATACTTCTCTTACATAGTACTTCTTTGCTGTATGATCTTAATATAAAAAAAGAACAAACAGTAGTTGCAACGTACTTATAATTGTTTAGTCCAATATTATTACTTTTTTAACTTACTCGTGAACATAAATCCACAATATTTTATATTATTCATATAATTTGTCTTCATATATTATACAGGTGAAACCGTCCGACAAATCGTACGAAAAATATTCTCTGAATATTTTGAACGCAAACCTAGTTTGCTACAATGTTATTTGACGATGAGACAGACACTCATACATGTGATGACACGTTGAAGATATAAAAAAATAAGTTAGTAATTCTAGTTCTTTTACGTAAGTCCTACTACACTGTAATTTTAAATTCTTAAGAAAAAGGCAAAAAAATTTACTCAACGTCACTGCATGATACTTACATTGAATAATACTGATGTTTTTTTATTGTCCGTAAGTAACATTAAATTAAAAAGCAAATTTAAATTTTAATTAAAGCTATTAAAATTATTTTTAAATTATTAAAATTCTTCTTTAACAACAAAATAGATTGTTAAGCTTCCTCTTGTTTCTGTTTTGACATTAACAATGAAATACTTTTGATATAATTAATTTTTTTTATAGAACAATGCGATGTTTGCCAAATTTAATTATACGAAGGTATAATTTATGTTTTCCTACCAAAATAAAATTGTGAATAAAAATTTGTCTTTTATTTTGCAAAAGAGAATTTTATATTTAATCTATATTTATCGTTTTTTAATTTGTTTGATCAAACATATACCTTTGACAGCATTCAAGTATGACTGAGGACGAATATAATACATAATTTATAGAGTAAGAAATAATTAATTATATTACATTAATTTATATACATATGCTCGTAAAGGAATATACACACACGCGCACGCACGCACGCACGCACGCACGCACGCACGACCGCACGCACGCATTTTAATACTGTCACTTTGTAATATGAGCAGATCTCATTGCAATAATTAGCTTATAGTTTAATAATTTGGCAAAAGTTAAGTAATAGCTACGTAAATAATTCTCTTCGTAAATTAATTGCAACACACATAAATGGAAACCAGCTACATTGCATTTTTTTTACGCAAATGTTTCGTTATAAAACATTTCGCATCTTCTGCTTAAAATGTGGAACTATAAATTCAAAAGGAAATTTCACATAGTCTTATAATTCTTTTATTAGCCGGGATAAAATTATATAAGAAGAGATAAAAGGTTTAAATACGATTTTAATTTACAATATATTGATGTACTATATGTATATTTCTTTGTACTACATTTATAAATAATGCTAGAATAAAATAAGTTAAGGAATAAAAGTCAATATTAGCTGAATTGTGAAAATAAATAAAACAATCAGTGTCTGTACATATGTAAATATATAATTCAGATTTTGGTAATGCAAACTCTTTTTACCGACGTATAATTGATTAAAATTTCGTTATTACTATAATACTGTTTACTAGAGATTCATATACTGAAAATATTTTCTTAATATAAAATTATAAATTATTTTTTGCATTGACCAAAAAATTTTAAAGGCTATATGCAGGGTTGACTGTTATTACATTCAATAGAGTAACTTGCTTCACAATAAGTGAACAAAAAATTAGCAGAAACTATGCACAAAAATTTTATTTAATTATTATATTTTATTAATGATAGGAAAAATTATTATTAAATCCGTGAAATATTTTAAATACTCATATGCTCGATGATACCTACATAACAAAGTATATCTGATAATGACACTTGAATCAGAATTCATAATGATATCTCAGTAATCTTTGCGTAATCAAATTTAGATATTTCCTATTAATTTTTTGATACATTTTATTAAGTGAGGCCTCATGTACTTTAAATTGATCTTAAATATTTCAATTATTAATGGTATGAAGCAATAAGTTAAAAATGCTTGTTTTTTCTGCTTCCTTGTTATTATATGAAACATATTTACGAAATTTTTAGTATGTTTGCTTCATTTAACGATTCTATTTAACTTCATCTATTATAAGTTTTGTGTAACTAAAAAAAAATTTTGACAGTTATATTATTAAAAATATATAATTCGTATACAACTTAATAATAACTTTTTAAATATTATATAAAATAATTAATTGTAAATAAATGCTAGGAATGTTATTATTTCAATTACGAAAATATTTTTTAAATTTTGAAATAATTATTGTATCCCAGCTTATTTGATCTTACAATTAGATGATTTATTTCTTTATAGCTTCCTACGTTCATGTGTGTGGTCGCAAAGATCCCAACTATAATCAATGCTTCCTGGACAATATCAACATTATGAAGGCCAAGATTTGTACAGGGATGCCAGAATTAAACGTTCCTCCCCAAGAGCCAGTAATTATTGACAAAATGGTTATTTTCGATACAAATAATCTTAAATTATTTCTCCAAGACACAAAAATATTTGGATTTTGCAATTTTGATGTACTATCTTTTAATATAAGCCCTGACAAGTTTCACTTCGATCTTACTTTCTTACTTAAACATTTTAATATGGACACCGTATATGACATTGACATACGTTTATTGGTGTCACTTGCTAATAAGGGAATAGCTCACATTTTTACAGGTATGTAAAATAGTCAATCTTACATTAAAATAAGATAAAACTTAGAACTATTTATTTTATTATAGAAACTTGTTCTCATTTCATTGTAATTAACAGACTATTTTGTTTTTTTACAGATGACGTAAGTGGAAAAATGAGCGTACAGCTTAAAGAAGTAACCAAGAATGGTAAAACTGAAATATATGTATCGAAGGCAAGCACGAATGTCGATATTCTAGATACAAAATTTACGTATGAGTTCGACGACAGTGAAAAGAACTTGGTTCAACTACATCAAGTTATTAGAAATACCGTAAGTGAAAACGAAAGAGAAATTATGAGTATAATTAAGCCGATACTAGAAGCAAGAGTTTCTAAACTGGTCATTGAAATTGGTAACAATGTAACTCGTAATCGATTTTACCAATTGTTTCCCGACGTAGCACCATAAATCACCTAGAACTTTGAGGTTGTTACAGAATGTGATATGCATCCTGTAATGTATCTGTTCTGATTAAAGAATAATTTAAGTATACTTTGTATAAGTCGTAAATTATTAATAAAGTGACATTATTTTAAACATTGGCGATATGTTTTAGTTAAGTGGCATAACGAAAACAAACGATTAACTGTTATAGATAGATTATTAGCGCGGAACAGCATAGATTTGTATAAAATAAATTTATTCTCAGATAAAATTGTTATGTGTTTGTGTACCGCTTCGCACTCTTATTGGAATAAATATATTAAATTTATAACATTCTATGGACGCAGAATTCAGAGTAGACAAAGCGAGACAAAAAAGGTATAAGCCAATCGCAGTACATGTCTAATAATACACGAGTTCTTTTTAATTTATAATGCGGCACGCTTCTCTGCTTGAGATGAGAACATCTTGTGTGTGAAGAAGGTTGGGGGAGGAGGGTAAAACTAAGGCGGGTACCACACCCCGCGTAGAACAGACGGTGCTGTCGACCAGCTACTACAAAAGAAATGACATCCATGAAGTGTGAAAAGAACGCGAGATGCGAATATTCCAATAGTTTGTCTATCAGACAGCACGAAAATAAGCTACTAAACTCTATATCAGCTTTGGTTCCAATTTCTAATATTTTAGGTATATTATTGCTTTTAAGAGATTGTGTCCATTGACACTTATTATCATTGAGTTAAGAAGAATAACACATATCAATGTCAATTTAACCAAAAGTAAATTTTCAAAAAAATGTATCAGGTCTGTCTAAGTAATATGCTTTTATGGATAGAATAAACAGGTATGTTCAATTATCTTTAGAAAAACTACGAAAAGTCTGTTGAAAAGTATGTTTACGAAAACTCATTTAGTAAGAATTTTAGGTTTAAGAAGTAAATAAGAACCGATATGTACATACTGTCTGAATCTATAATTCCGGCAGATAATCGAAAATTTATTTATTTTGTACCATATACCTATTGGACATTACTTGTTCCTAAAGGTCAATTCTTTTAAACGAGTTATAATTTCTTGGCCAAATATAAGAACCGGTTATTAAGTCGATATAAAATCAGCTTAAATAACTATGTTTCGGTTCTTTTTACATTTTTAACAATTCATTAGCGAAACGAATATTAATTCCTCTCTTGCGCAACATTACGTTTTAATGACAGTCGAAATAAAACGAATAAAACACAGACATACACAACAACATTTTTACTCTATATATGTGTCATTTTATATATGTGTTAGGACTAAGAGGATATTTTAAAATAGAGAGATTCCACAGCATACCTATATAAGATCGAACCCATGTTCATCTTTTTTATACTTGCTGGACATCCATTACAACAACTATCGTTAGTGTGTGGTTTTAAAAGGTGCAAAAGGATTAGTTCATTTTACAAGAAAATTCTTTCGTGTACAAGATGTTTGTTGGACTTTTTGCTCTTTTCTTTGTGATACCATACATATCAGCAACGAAATTACGTAAGTAAATGAAAATATTTGTTACAATTTTATTTACATAATATATAGAAGGAAGTCCTTTATTATGAGATAGGTTTCTAACACAGGAAAGCAGGTTTTCAACGTCCCAACTCAATTACAAATCTTTTTTTGCAACGATTACACGATCTAACAATCAGTTTTCCACTAAACAAAGATTTCACTCCGAGGGCGATAAATTCATGGTGAAACCAACAGATTATGCCTATTAATTTTGCGGAATCTCCGCTATCTCATATTAGCAGCTTATCCCATAATAGGGGACTTTCCTCTACGTAAGATTCCTGTTGTCCATTAAAAGTCTGTCAGGAGCCAAATACTGGAAACACAATTAAGAAATGCAAATTAATATCATTTCTCGATTTAGATCACTTTAATTTACATTGATGGATATTGTGATAATTTCGATGAATTGCAAGTTAACTGGATTGACCATATGACAGAAATTTTAATACGAGAACGTTTGGCATTATAAACTGTATATAAATAGCGACAATATAAGGCATTGGAAAAATAGGTAAATAATCTTTTATTCTAATTTTTATATATTTAATTAAAGTGACGATAGCAATTATATTAAATTTTATAACAATGTCATATGGAAACTTTATTCGTCTTTTTAAATTTAAACGCCTAACACTTTCTGTCTTAACTGAAAATAATATCTCACAGATTTGGCTCTTGTTGCGAAATTTCATTTAAAAGTTCTTAAGATCAATATAAAACAATAATTTTATTGTTTTATAGCGTCCTACATTCGTCCGTGTGGGCGTAAAGAGCCGAACTACGAACAATGCATTCTGGAAAATGTTAAAAACATAAAGGATAAGATCTGCACTGGGATACCGGAATTAAATGTTTCCCCGATAGAACCATTACTTATAGAGAAACTTGTTATTTACGACACTCCCAATATTAAGATGTTTCTTGAAGATGGAAAAATTCGTGGATTTTGTGATTTTGTTATAAATTCTGTTCACGCAGATCCTGACAAGCTTCATTTTGAGTTTAATATCTTAATCAAACATTTTGAGATGGAGGCGACATATGACTGTGACATACGATTACTGACGCATCTTGCCCACAAGGGTACAGTTAATATCACTTCAGGTATGTAAAATTGATATTGTGTTGAAATAAAAGAATGGTTTTATGTATAAAACTTATCTTAACATAAAAGGTTTAGAATCCAATTTTACATTATTGAAATTTCCATATTGTGTCTCGTTCCAGATAACACAGAAGTGAAGCAAAGCATGGACTTCAAGGAAATAATCAGGAATGGGAAAAAACGGATTTATGCGTCGAAAATGAGCTTCAATTTGAACCTCGAGACAGTTGATTATAAATTTGACGAGAGTCAAAAGGAACTCGCACAATTCTATCAAATAGTTAAAGATGTCGTAAACCAAGATAAAGAAAATATTATAAAGAAATTGAAGCCGACAGTAGAAGAGATATTTGCCAAAGAAATAATCGCAGTTATGAATGAGATGCTTCGTAATCATTTTGAAGCTTTATTTCCCGATAGAACAAAGATCATTGTAGAACACTGATGCCCATTCTTGAAGCATTACCACGTATCTCTCACGATAAAATAAAAACTAATTTAATTAATTTAAATAGTTGTTGTATTTTTTGGAACCGAAATCTCTAGCTATTTCATAGAATTGAAATAGTTAGAGATATCATAAACCATGATAAAGAAAAATATTTTGGGAACCGACGATATAAATTGGTGGCGAGTGTGGCGTAGAGAAATATGCGTTGCTAAGTAAACAAATGAACGAAAAGATCAGAGTTCAAATTTACCGTTGGTTTTTTTTCGCAATCTCCCGAAGGAAAATGATAACTACCGAGAGTATCTCGCCACACATATTATTTTAGATGCGTAGTCTTCCAGATGGGAGGTTTCTTTCGGCAAGGTTAGCAGCCTACTGAAAATTAAGTAAAACCAAATGCTCAAAGTACCAGAACGAGAATTAGATAAAACCGGCTTTAAGCCTAATACACTAGAAGGAGAAGAAGAAGGTATAAATTGTATTTACGATGCAAAATGAAAGCAGATGAATGTCATTTGAAAAGTCCACATTTTTTTTATGTTGTACGAAATGGACTTTTATTATTTCTTATTTATAAGTTTTGCACGTAATAAGGACGCCATAGAAAACTCAATATAAAAATCGTATTAATAGATTTACTCAACTTTTCTTGTATATTACAATTGAAGATGTATTGATAAATATTCTTAATACACGAAACAGAAAGTAAAACATTAAAAACCGTACAATCGATATATGTATAGTCTGTTAAGAGAAAGGCGAAACTCATTGACAGTATCATTCACACAAACGGAGTTGAACTGCGCAATTTACATGGTATGTTTTGAGTGTTGACGTATTATGCTAATAATATTTAATGAGAAAAACTACTACCAGTTATGACAGAGCATCTAAAGTGTATTTATGTGTTTGTTCATCATCGATCACCATTGTTTATTTGGAAATCTCAATTAGATAGTAATTTATCAAAAAATATTATACATTACTGAACAAATAGCGTGATAAAATTTCACCTGCAACATAAAATACGATCGCAGATGTACCATTAATAATAATCAAGTATCTCAAAGTACTGTGTTTTATAAGTAATACTTATGATGTGTAGGAGAATATATTTAAAATTTAAATTACATTCCAGCTTACAATAACAACTAGTAAATTGCTGTTGTTCTGTAGAATTAATTTTCTTCTTGCGTTGCCCTTTCTCTCTCATCATCTATCACTTTTTACACAATCGTGCGCGCAGCAAAAAGTGAGTAAAATACAAAATGAATACCATTTTTATTCTATGCATATGTCATGAGAATCAAAGCAAATATCAAAGGTTACTTGTAAAATAGACGGATTGTATAATACCTAAAAGTTCGATCTGATAACTGTGGTCTTATCTCGCGTTTGACGTACATTCGTTAGGATCATTCTCGTGAAGATGTTTTGAAAGATTCTATTTTACAGAAAATATGGTTTATTTGAAAATATTTACTGTTCCTTTTATTTTTACATGACAATGCATACGACGGAAATACGTGAGTAAATATTTGCTACGTTTTTATTTATATAATATACGTAGGATTTTTATTGTATATTAAAAGTCTGTCATCGGTGCGACGCCAAACACTCAGATCACAATTAAGAAACGCAAAATAATGTGATATTATTTCCCCAAGTTAGATTATTACTTTATTATTACTTTAATTTAATTTTGCATAGATATTGTAATAATTTTGAGATTAGATTAATTAGTAATTACATTTGGATTGATTATGGAATTGACTATGGTAGAAATCCTAATGCGAGAATATCTGGTGTTATAAACAGCGATAATGTAAGGCATAAGAATTTGAAAAATAAATGAACTTGTATTTTGATTCTGAGAAAGATAAAACCAGTTATGACAGAATATCTGAAACCAGGGCCGTGCAAAGGGGGGGGGGTGCGGCGGATGCACCGCACCAGGGCCCCCAGTGTTAAGGGGCCCCGAAATTCGGTTAAGACATAACTATTTTTATTATTTTCTAGATACTACAAAGCGCGCTTCACGCGCAATTTTTTAATACACCATTAACTTTTACATATTATTTACATAATTAATCTTTCGAGACACAAGTGTTCAAATATGCAATAATGATTTAGGAAGTAAGCGCAAAGAGAGAACCAATCGGCATCGCGGAAAAGCGACAACAATAAACTTTGATAGATTCGAGTATTGAGTTTACATGTCTTTTTTAGAAATTGATTGTTTCTACATATTCATTTTTATCCAATTTTATTTTGTATACAAATTAAATTCATTTATAATTCATAAAATAATAATTTAAAAATGAAATCTTTAATGTTTTAATGTGAATATTATACATCGGTGATGTAATCGTTTATTTAATCAAACGGCTTTTATATCTAATTTTCTAAAATAAATGCTGTGGTCCACTTGATATTACGAATACTTTAAAACGTTCTTCTTCTTCTTTTTTAAAACACAAGATATTAAATTCATGAAAGGGCCCCATTTTTATCTTTGCACCAGGGCCCCAAAAACCCTTTGCACGGTCCTGTCTGAAACTATATAATTTATGTTTTGTTCACCATTGATCATTGTTTATCTGGAATTCCCATATATATACAAATTTATTGTTTCCCCTCGGGGATTACAATGCTTTTCCGTACGTTCTTTTTTATCTCCCATAAGCATCTCTCTTCGAATTTTCATGCTCTCTTTCCTGCTCTACTTTTCATTTTCTCTCTCTCTCTCTCTGTACCTCTTCTCTTACCAGTATCCATCTCAAGTGCCTTTCGTGAAGTTTTTCTAGATTCTTCTTCTCTTTCCACCCCCAAATTTCTACCCCATAACTCGCTACAGTCCATACTAATTTATCATATATAATATGACGGAATTAATAATGTGATAAAAATTTTAGCTATATTTTCAAGTAATATGTAAATTACTCTATTTATTATTTTTGCATATTTTATTCAGTACGTTTTCCCATTTAAAATACAACAGTCGCATACCATTAATAATACTAGACCGTTACAAGTATCTCGAAGTTTTATGTGTTTCATTAAGTAGTACTTGTGCAATCGTATAAGAAAATATATTTAATATTTAAATTGCACTCGACTCACGTCATAAGGATTTAGATTAACTATCTTTCGAATTCATTTTCTTCCTGTATTTTCCTGTATTTTTCTTAATGGCATCTACTTCATAATCATGTGCATAACAAACCGAGATACAGACTGTGCAATGGCATTTTCATACTACGCATGTGCCAGAATGGAAGAAAGATTGAGGGGATAAATATAAAATAGAGGGATTTCATGGTATATAATAGCTCGATTTGTTCGCGTTGCTCTTCTTCGTCGTACATTCATTCGGATTTATTCATTCGTATTGCTGTTGTGAAAATGTTTTAGAAAAATTTATTTCTCAGAAAAATCTTGTTTCGAAAATGCTTGCTACTCTATTCATTTTTGCGCTCGTGACAGCGCATGCGATGGAAATACGTGAGTAAATGAATATTTGTCACATATTTATTTACATTACAATGTAGGTAGAATTTAAAATATACTATTTATGAAAACTTTATTGTTCTTGCACTAAGCTTAAGAATCAGATAATTAAAAAATATCAATGTAGGATTAGTTTTGGAATTATTTATGTTACGCTATAATTGTATATATAAAGTTACAGGTAAATAAGACTCTTACAATTCTAATTTATTATTGTTGATATTGTGTTAATCGCGATACATGTAACATATTGCTTATAATATAATAATACGTAATATTAGAGTGTCACATTTTGCTATGTAGTCTTTAATTGCTACATAATTATGCGCAAGGTAATTAAATGAATAAAATAGAAAATCCAGCGCACGCTAAATGCACATATTAGACAAAAAAACACATACGTAAATAAAGCTGCGACTTATAACTTTTGCTATCAAGATGATCGATTGCAAAGAAATAAAAATAACTTTGACAAAAACGTATCGTCGATTTTTAAATTCATATATGTTTTAACAGAATTTGTACAACTTTATATCGCATCCTACAAATTTGACTTGCTGTCAAGATACATTTGTATTTCCACAATTTTAGAAGAACAAAATGTATTTTATAATATTTTGTATCTTGATATATAAACTGGATATAATAGAAATAGTAAATATTCTATGCTAAGTAATCTATAATCTATTAGTATAAGTTATTTTATTTTAAAACAACAACTACTTACTTCAGTTGCTTTATTATTACTCATAAATTATTGGTTTAGGTATATCCTAGTTTAATTAAGAGTTTTATATCATACTAATCACATTATTCGAGATTTGATATTAATGTTCCATTTAACATAACATTTTATACTATAATATATGTAATATTAATTTTTCTCCGAAGAAACTTATAGTGTTACTTTGTATTGTAAGCAAGTCTTATGTGTTTTGCAATAAGTATGCGTTCATGCAATAATTATGTGTTTCGACAGATGTTAATCACAGGTTAATAACTAAGTAAATAGATCTGTCCGTTGAAAACAAGTCCGATATCTATTGATCGCAAATAAAATAGTATGAATTAAACTTTTTCTACGAATATTTCTTATATCAATATTTTGAGATATACTTTATAGTACTACATATTTCTCTCTCTCTCTCTCTCTCTCTCTTTGTTTCTCTCCCTTAGAATGAGTCTTAAAATAAATTGATGATTTAGTCTTATATTTTAATAATAATTGAAACGTAATAGTAATAGCATGACATATTAATTATTTTTTTATCGTTGGAATTTACAATTATTTTACAGTAATTAATAATAAAGACGTATAATTCATAGCATATTAAAATAGAAAATTTTATTTAACTTATAATAACTCTGACATAGTTTATAATATAACGCGCAATATTGTAATGAGTTAAAATAGGAAACCAGTTGAACAATAAAAATCAATATCTATTAGCTGAGTTGTAGAAGTGTATAGAGTAGTTGATATCGTATAATTACGGCTCTGTGGAGGCAAACTATTTCTTTCCCCTTCACTAATGTGTAACTTTCAATTGTTTGTGACTTTGATCTTGATAAATAATGTGTGTTTATATTTAAAAAATTAAAAATCACATTTTTTTAATTAAAATGTAAAATTATAATTTTTTTTATACTTATAAAAATTATCAGAAGGCATTGTGGGTGAAATATTACAATTAAGAGGATAAATTGTAACTTATCTTAAATGTGATAACTGAATATAGACAAATATAAAAAATTAAGACACTGATACAATTCTTATTAATTACCTAAAGAAAAAATAATTACTACAAAATTGTATTAACTGTTCAAATTTTTTTAATGAATGTTTATTAAAAATATTAAAAACAAGTGACATACATAGCATGGGTGCATTTAGTATTACAACCACTCACTGAATGCTTTAGTGAATGGTTGCTCTTGAGCGCTCAGTGAGCGGTTGTCATATACTCGATGAAGGTTCCCTGTTATGGTATTTGACACATAAAAGTAAGAGGTCACTCGAAAGGTCATTTTTCTTGGGGAAAATAATGGCTGCAAAACGTATGATTATGATAATAGTTTAAAATGAAAAAGTAATAGTAATATCATGCAAATGATCGCATATTGTAGTTTATTTGAAAACTTTATATTGCACAAAGGATGCACTTTAATAATGCCACAAATCGTTCTGACAAAACAATTTAAATGATTTCTACGCACATTGTGAATGAGACACGTGTCAACGGAGATCTTTAGGAATATACCATGTGTGAGTGAGGGATATAAGATTATACTTGCAAAAATAGCAACCATTCATTGTGAGCATCTTAAAAAGAGCGCTTACATCCGATACACGAATTTAAGGCGCTCACTGAGCACTAAGTGAGCGGTTGTTATAATTGTTTAATACTAATTGCGTTATAAAAGTATTTAGTAATTGTATTAATTGTAAAGTTTGAATTATATAATTTATGATTCCTACGTTCAAACTTATTTTATTTTAGTTTATAATTTACGGTTACAATTATTATATTAATATTATTTTGCTTTAGTTTATTTGAAGTATTTTAAAGAAAATAAATTCAATTTTACAGCCTCCTACATTCGGGTATGTGGCCGCAGTGATCCCAACTATGACCAATGTATCGTTGACAATCTTAACGCTGTGAAATATAAGATTTGCACAGGGATGCCGGAATTTAATGTTGGTCCAACTGAGCCAATAATTATTGACAAAATAGTTATCTATGATACAGATAGTCTTAAACTCTATCTCAGAGATGCAAAATTAAGTGGATATTGTGATTTCGTCGTAAACTCCGTTCACACAGATCCTGATAGACTCCACTTTGTTATAGATATCACAATCAAGCATTTTAATATGAATGTTTTATATGATTTTGATATACATGTATTAGTGCCCCTCGCTAATAAGGGATTGGCTATCATTACTTCAGGTACGTAAAATGTTAATTTTGTACTAAGTTAATTTTATCTCATTTTATTACCAATGTTATGTTAAAATAAAATAAAAGTTTAGACAGCATAAAACTCTCGTTAAGACAGCATACAAAACTCGAAGCTCGATTTTATTTCATTAAAATTATAAAAATATCTGTCTTTTTTTTACAGATAATGTACTATTCAAACTAACCCTGGACTTCAAAGTGGCAACTAAGAACGGTGAAAAACAGATATATGTATCGAAAGCAAACACAAATATCAATATCACATCATTTAAATATGAGTTTGATGAAAGCGAAAAGGAATTAGTTCAACTACATCAAGCTATTAGTAACGTCGTAGATAGTAATTCAGAAGATATTATTCGTAGTGTTAAATCGGCAGCAGAAAAGAAAATCTCGGAATTAGTCATCTTAGTTGTCAACAACATAACCCGTTCCAATTACGAGAAACTATTTCCCGAAAAAGTATGAATTGTTTGAGATTCGTTATTGCAAAATCATTCCTTACTTGCTGCGAACGAATCAAGGGAAATCTGAAACAAATTCTATTATAATATTTTGAAAATTGGTGATATACAATTTATTTTAACTAATAATACGTAATGGTAGACGTTATTATTTATATATTGCTAGTGTAAAATTTGGAATAATAGTTAACTAAAAATGTCTCTGTATTACTTTTAATGTTAATAGGTTAATTACAAGATTTTCAAGTAGTAAATATTGCAACAATTATATTTTGTGACTTATATATTTATTTATTATTACATAATTTATAAGTAATAATTTCCTAACTAAAGCCTTTACACGATCTATAATTCGCAACAGAATTCGAGACAGAATCCCATTTTTAAATTTTTATGTATCGTGTAATACAGAATACATTTGAACAATCAGAATTATAATTATAATGCTCCAATTTTGTAAATAGAAAAGATGCATCAAATATGTGTAGTGCATGAAAATACGTGATTGATTAATTGCATCTGGTCTAATGAAAAACCTTAAGCATTGATTGCTGTGAGAATTTGTGTCCAATCGGCAGAGAAAACGGACCTCATCCAAGGGCGTCCGGAGGGGGGGGGGGCAAGATGGGGCATCTGCCCTCCCCCCCCTTGAATTTGGAATAAGCAAAAAATTTGGCCTATTTGGCATACCTTGGTCGCGGTGAGAAAGTTATTACCAAAAGATGTAAATATACACCTTTATATATGTATATATATTTGAAATCATATAAGTATTCTGTAGTAGTAATATTTTAACAATATAAATGATGCCCCCCCCCCTCTGGAAAAAATTATGCGAACGCCCTTGCTCATCCATATGTAAATGTTATAACCTACACTAACCTAATCGCGAATTATAGATCGTGTAAAGTGGGCTTTAAACTATAATTAGAGTGCATAAAGACGAGGTAGTCTTTGCATCCAGTAACAATGTCGTCTACTGCATAAAATGGACAAATTACATGGCATCATACACCGGCCAGACAAATAGATTATTGGTTATACGTGTTAAACACACAAAAAGATCAATCATTTGTTATCCGTCCATAGTTCAAGCGTACCGCATACAATTTGTCGACGAGTTCGACTTCGACAACGTTAAAGTTTTAAACAGGGAATCGTTTCACATGAGGCGTCTTATATCACAAATATTACATAATATCAAACTGATGATATTAATATGCAGACAGATACAGATTTTTTGAGATGTATATCTACCGCTCTTAAATCAAATAAAAACATCGAGTAAGTGAAAAAATCGTAATAATGAACAATTTTACATTTGTGTCATTGAGGAAGGTCATAGCAAGCGTGCTAATACCGAATAAATTCCTATTCAAAAAGAAACGTACATCCTAAATTATATAAGAACATTCTTGTAATTAATCTTTTGTATTCTTTGTAAACGTTAACCGAAATTCTTCTAAACTGTACCCTGTAGTCTTCCAAAATTTATCCTTTATTATATGTCAAATTTTTTTTATAAATTTTCTGACTTGGGTAGAAATATAACGCGAAACGGTTTTTTACATATGTTATGTATTTTGTACACATAAATATTACGTATAAACATTTATACGTTTTTAGATACATATTTTACATATACATCACATACAAACGAATTATTCTTTTTATAGACCTAATTTACTTCCTTCGACGAAGAATGACTATACTATTATTATTAGCTTACCTCATGCATGTAATTACATGGGAAAATACAGAAAAAGTTATGTTTCATTTCCGATGTAGCATTAATTCTTACATAAGTACTATCATAGTATAATCTCAAAAACTATATTAAGAATGAATTAATTTCAATACATCACGTACACATTCTTGATCTAACAATGTTGGATTATTTTAACAATCTCATAATTATATATTGTGAGAATTTATTATTATTTAAAAAAATTAATATAAGAAAGTGAATAGAATTGTTTCTTTTCAGGAAAAGGATGTGTCAACTTTATTTTGGATTTTTTTTGTGGCAATTCTGTGATACTGATTGTGAGAGAGAATTTCTTAAATTTTATGTATTAAATAATTGATAGTTTAATTTTAAGATAGAACATGTACTGTTTATAATTATATATTCGGGTATTCTGTATAATGTGTGAATGTTAATACATGTATTTACATGGGAAAATACAGAAAAAGTTATGTTTCCTTCCCGATGTAGCATTAATTCTTACATAAGTACGCGTGTCTGCTAATTCTTCAAATATTTTATTATAAAACACAATTAGAATTCTAGCCTGAATTTTGGCACAAATTATGAATTGTTCTTAGTGGTGTTTATATTGTAGAATATAATGCTTCTTCTTATTCTTCCTCGTGTTAGGTTTAAAAGCCTGTTTCATCCAATTCGTTTTGTACCAGTTCTGTACCAGAACGAACTGGTACTTTGAGCATTTACTTCATCTTCGGTAGGCTGCTAACCTTGCCGAAGGAAACCTCCAATCTGCAGGGCTCTACCCCTAAAAGGATATGTGTGGCAGGATACTCTCGGTGGTTACCACTTTCCTTCGGAAAATTCCGAAAGAACCAGTGGTGTTCGTAGATTTGAACTCGGATCTTCTCGTTCATTTGTTTACTAGCAACGCACATTTCTCTGCGCCACACTCGCCACCGCATAGATTATAATGCATTCACGCAAAATTGATTAAATATGTTTTTATTTAAATTAAATATTTATTCGCTTGTTATACGTAAGATAAATTATTGTATAAAAAGACAATATTTATAATATTAGTAAGAATATTTTTAAAGTCGCCAGAAGTAATTAATAAATTAATAACATATTTACAATTGTACAAACGAATTGTACTACAATTCGCTTAATTCTAATTTTAACACGAATACAATTATATGACGGATATAACTCATAAGCATCCCGAACTAATGAATGTATAATGACTATAAAACAAAAAATAATTAATTATTAAGATGGTATTCTTGAAGTAGAATAGATTATTTGTTTAATGTATTGGTTTCCTCTATTCTGACTTCTTTTTATTACTTTTTGTGCATTAATTTTTTACTAACACATTTTCAACGTAATAACACACCGTGATAACGCAACGTATTTACAAAAATGTGAGAGATAAAAAATTGGTAGACAAAGTGCAGAATATTTTGTTACACGTCAATAAGAGTAGGAATTAAAAGATCATTATACGTGAATTGAAGTGGAATAAGGTGGACTGAGGTGGAGTATAAATTCTTGTGCACACTCGTGTAGATTAAGTTGCCTCGTGTCTGTTCCGTCGTTTAGAGCGGTTGAGTGCTCGACTGCCACTTTAATACACTAGAAAAATTAAATTGTGGAAAATGTTTCCTATAATTTTTATTTTTTCACTTGCACTAACATATGTTGCAGGGGAAATACGTAAGTAATTGTAATTAACTATGTTTCTATTATAGAGTAAAACAATTAATAATTTTATGTTTACATTGAACGTGTAGCAGGAAACTCACATGTTTAAGGAATATTTACCCAAAATATAAAATATTATTCTTTATATCTTAAAGCGTAATGCCAATATTCGATTTACCCCGACAATGTCAACCTCAATCAATTTTGCGAGGCAATTTGGATTTCTTAAGGGATAATTTGAATAACATTGAAAATGAACATTAATATTACAACAGAAACCAAATCTTGTATTCATCCATAACTTGGCCCCACACTTCAAAGTACGCATTCACTGCTTGTTTATTAACTCCAGCAGCTCTAGCCTTGGAAAGGGCTTCCAGTTTTCTCGAGCTAAGATCATACTTCTTACAAAAGGTTAGGTACCAATCATTACCTATTTTCTTTCTAGACCATGAAGAAGGTATTTCGATATTACATTTGGTTGCGTAGAAATAAGCTGCGATATACAATTCCTTTGGAGTTGTATATCACGCCAAACCTCTGGCTTCAATGTATTTAACTATTTCTGCTAAAGTTTTTCTTCTAAAATGCTACTAAACACAGCTGGGCGTCCAACAGAAGTGTTAGGAACTTCATTTTCCCCACACATTTGTTTTCGTTTAGATTCAAATTTTCTGTACAAACTCGTGTAGGGAACGTGAAATAGCTGTGCAGCCCCTGTAATGGACACCACACCATCAGTAACAGTTGTAACAGCTTGTGCTCTCTTTACTCCCGTTCAATCGAGCATATTCTCTTTATAATGTCTCACCATTTGAAATAACGAAATGTGTCTTAAAACAAATAAGATATAAATATTAGGGAACTGAGTGCGTTATTCAAATTGCCCCATAAAAATGTGTTCTAATTGCCCCGTGTGCCGATATAAAAACATCGTAATATAGCAATGCATAGAGGTGTGACATTTTGGTGTTATTTTTTGGCATCTTTGCGTTTTGTTAACTAGTCAACGTAATGATCGCTAATGTATGTGAGAAACATTTTTAGATTATATTTTTTACATAGTTTGTACGTAGATTTCATAAAAGCTTAAGAGAGCAGAACATATTCTTATAACCCACAGTAACAACAGAAGTTTTCTACCTACCTTGTTCAATGTAAAATACTGCATAGACCTTTGGAATCACAGATAACCTTTGAAACTTATATGAATATGTAAACAACAATATCTTCTTTCAAATAGATTTAATATCGCCAGTAATATAAAACCAATGATATGCAGTTTTTCAAAAACGACCTACACTGGCCAATGTTTTTATTTAAAAAACAAACGACATTTTGGTCCCGGGTTTGGACCTTTTTCAAGTAATCTTTTCACACAATTGTTATTGATCCCATATCGTTCGTTTGGCCAATATCGTTATGTTAATAAGATGTTGATTAAAACATTATTGCACTCCTTGGTTGAAGAGTGCAGAGTCAATTGAAGTTGCATTGTTAATTGTACGACACGAGTAAAAATATCGAGAGATGTGTGTTAAATGAGATGTCGGATCGAACATGACTCTGCGCTCTTAGCAAGAACTTATAATACAGTAAATAATTTTACTTTCTTTAAAAATGAGTATAATCTTGATTTGTGACGCGTCAGATTTTTTCAGCATGTATATTCAATTATTACATATTCTATATTTTTCTAAAATAGTATTTTCATTCTGTCCTTCCCACAAGAATAAAATCAGATTTCAGTTACATATTTTTTATAAGTAACAATTATCATTTACAGAAAACATATTAAAAGTTCTAAACTTATTTTAATTAATCATAATTGCTATAATGTAGCATCTATACGTAGCACAATAATCAGATAGTAATTAAACAATCAAAATAATTCTAACAGAGGAAAAATTTTTTTAAGTCAACCAGACTGGCAAACTCAAACCGCAATTATATGTATATGTATAAAGAAATTTTTAGTATGTACATAAGTATGTATTACAAAGTAGAAAAGTACCTAATGTTGACTGTAAAAATTAATTTATGCCGAAACAGAATGAGTTCATAAGTCTGTGGCAGCAAATTCATAATGTCATATCTGAAGTTATGACTTTTCTTTTCAGTTCGACGTAATATACCATCATTTTTTAATTAGTCCGTCTTACTCTCAACACCCTGTAATACACATTGTAATAAATGTAATATTTTTGAATTTAAAAAGCCTACAGTGAATATTAGGAACAAATTCAATATGCCACATCCACACCACATCATTAATTGTCAATTTCATTAAAAAATTATCAGTTAATGAAAGTGATTTATATTCTTTACAGCCTCTTATATGCACATATGCGGTCGCAAAAACCCAAATCTAGATAAATGTATTGCGAATAGCATTAACGATCTAAGGAGTAATATCTGCAATGGAATACCGGAATTACAAACTCCACCACTTGAGCCATTCATTGTTAAACAAGTAACTCTTTCTGACGTAGATAATGCCAAAATGTATGTTAGAGATTTACAAATTACGGGTCTTTGCGAGTTCATTATAAATGATCTTCACGTAAATCTTGATAACCTTCATATTGAGGGTAATTTATCATTCAAAAAAATTTTTCTGAACGGCACGTATGATGCCGATATACGTATACTAGTGTCTTTTGTTAAAAAAGGATTGGTTTATTTTACTACAGGTATGTATAATTTAGTAAAATTTACTAAAATAAAACAAACATTCAGTGAAATCCGTTGTGATAAATTTTAAAGATTTAACATGTAATTTTGTTTTACCGATATTATCAGATTACATTTTTTGCAGATAACCTAGCAGCAAAAGTGGCTGTAGACTTCAAAATGATAAATAAAGACGGTAAAAAATACATATATATGTCAAAATTGAACGTGAATCTCGATATTAAAACATTGAACACTCAGTTTGGTTCGGAATCAAATGCAGATCAATTAAACCTAATTGTTAGTACTTTCATAGGCAGCAATGAAAAAGAATTGATCAACAAGGCTAAACCGATAATAGAAAAAGAATTAACTAAACAACTATTAGTAATTGCGAACAACATAGTTAAGCACTTTACTTATGACGAACTCTTTCCTGATAGACTATAAATTAAAATATTCCAAAATTGTGAAGGCTCCCAAAAGAAAAATATGGAAGGACACGTGTGTTGTGAGAACTGAGATCTGTTCATTTTGTGGCTCACATCGGCACTTCGCCTTCCATATAAATTAAAACTTTAAGATTTACTGTCACAAAATCGCTCTATGAATTTGCAATTTGATTGATGAATGATTTATGAATAATTAAAGCCAGTTTTCTTATACAATATTTCGGAAATCTACGATAGACATTTATTTTCATTAAATAACTACAGACAAGTAATTTATTGTAGAATAATTGATTGATCACTCAGCAGTGCGGAGTCACTTGAAAATATTCCGTTTAATTTGCTTTGCTTTTTGGAATAAGAGTTTTGTATAAATGTATTTGATATACATACTTACAAAATTGAATTTAAAATTGTGATATACTTACAAAATTGTGATATACATACTTATAAAAATGAATTTAAAATTGTAATACCGTTTATTATATCCATATATCTATATATCTTTTACAACTTGAGACTAATAATTTTATTTAAACTTTTACTACTTGTATTATTGTTATTACTCATGTTGTTTTGTTTTGTTATTATGAGTATAGTAATATTGTATGTAAAAACAAATTTATGCACCGGTTATTCTCACGTAACAAAAAATGCGCTGTTCTAATAGGTACAAAATTAAATTATATTTATCAAGATATTTTTAATAAATATTTTAATGTCAAAGAATTGATAAAGCATGTTATAAAATATGTGCTGTTTTACTTAAAAAAAAGAGAGAAAATCTTGACAGAAAAGATAGATTTTGTGAACACATTAAAAAATTTTGGATTATTTTATATCTTGCTACAGGCATATAAAATTTACAACATTACACAATCCTCCTACACATCATAATGAATTTCATTTTGATATGCAAATCTTGTTTTTATTATATCACATGTATCAGAGATGTTAAGCAACATCTTAATAATTATTTTTTAAGATTATCTCGGTCGGATGTCCTTCGTAAAATGTCATGGTGATCGAGTTGTTTAGCAAAACAACATGATATTAACATGATATTCTAAGTAAAGTAATACAGTTCAGCAATATATGGGGCTAATGTGCTCATAATTAACTCATCAATTATTTATTATTGCAATTTTTATTGCAATATTATTCTTTTTCAGTTAATATATTGTCATTGCTTATTTATATTTAAAAAAATTATGTATGCAAAATGTTTTAAGATAAACTTTACGTTTCACTTTAATATAATTCTAAAAGCGCATCTAACCTGTATAATTATGTACGGAAAATCTTGAATAAATAATATTGCATAATACGCCAACACTTATCCCTTATTAGTTCGTTCTAATTAAAAATGAAAAGTTTATAAAAGAAAAATAACTCTAATAAACTTTCAAGTAAGACCCCTATCTAAAACTAAACAATATATGAGAAAACGCCAATGTGGGTCACAAGGCAAGATGTAGGTAGCCCAATTTGTAAACCTTACATTTTTCTGAAAGGCGCCTCAGTCGAGCTGGCTAAGACTCCCGTCACGGATTGAAGGAGGTCTCAAGTTCGAATCCTGGCTGAGGTAATATTTTTTGCAATAAGAATAATTAACAGCACGGGAAAAGAGGGGTATTGAATGTTAAATGTAGCATCAGAAAAATGTTAATGTGTAGCAATTTAAATATAATCACAAAAAATCCTTTATCAATTTGAATATGTGAATTTGCTGACGATAATAATTCCAAGTGTAAGAAAAACTGCGTTAGGTTATGTCCGAAGAAAGAAATCGGCGCGTAGAACTAATGTGGAAAGAAACGGTATATAGATTCACGATTTTCAGAAAAAATATATGATTTACATGTTGGGCTATCTACATCTTGCCTTGGGATCCACATTGGCGTTTTCTCATATGTTGTTTAAAAATAATTCTTTACTTCACAGTTGAATTATTCAATTTCTGCTCTGTACATTGATATTTTAAGATCTACTTTACCAAAAGTCCATTAAAATTATTAGAGTCTAAAAATTAATATTTCTTTCTGTAATTTAATTGACAAAAGAAATTCGAACTGCTCATGACTTTTACTCTAAAAACAAATCTAAAATTTTATTTTTCGTATGAATAAAGAATTCTTACTTTGTATACATATTTGTTATTTATTATTCATAGAATTTATTTAATTCTGGCACCTGATGTCTGGGAGCAGTGCCGCAGCAAGGTTCCTCGGCGCCCGGGGCGAATATAATTTTGGCGCCCCCCCCCCCCCCCCCGCTCCATCCCATACTACACGTATAGGCAGTCAACCTTTCTGTCTGCGAGTGTACGTCTTTACCGGCGGCGCTGGCGCCCCCTTAAATTTGGCGCTCTGGGCCGGCGCTCCGCTCGCCCCACCCTTACTGCGGCACTGTCTGGGAGTGTACAATAAATTATTGTAAATAGAGAGGATCAGACCGGTTATCGATTCAATGCGAATGAAAGGAAATGTGAACCTACATATATAAGCTCTTACTCAGTTCACATGTGTCAGTCTTGAGACACGTTTGGAATACTGCTGTTAAATTATAATACAACTGTTCTTTAACAATAGAGTTTTCGAAAATTTGTGAAGAAACATTTTTGGCTTGGAAAATGTCTACCACAGTCTTCGCTTTTGCATTTGTAATTGCATGTGCTGCAGCGGAAATACGTAAGTAAATTAAGAGATATGTATTTATTTTCATCGTTTTTCGATCGCGATTCATTCCATATTAATCGAATCGGAAAGTTCTAAAAACTGTGTCTGCTTTCCGTTTATGTGATTTTTTATGACACTTATGTCAACTTGAACATGAAATTTTTAAAAAAGTATCATCATTGAATTTTTCGATGAAATAAATTTTAAGAAAATTTACGTTACAAATCTATTAAAACCAAAAGTTTACTTTATATTTTATATATTCTGTATGCGAATATACGTATTGTGTGTATGTGTATAAAGGAAAAATGATTTTAGCAAAGTTTAATAATTTATTTTTAAAATACGTTATGCAATCTGCATTAACATAGTTTCTCTTAAATAGTAGAAAAAGAATCTGTGAACAACAATATGGTGTTCGTATAACGCGCATAATATTGTTATATTATAGTTACAGAAAGTTATTTGAAAATATAATTTTACATTTGAATTTATCTTATTGACAATTTCATTAAAAGTATTTCAATATGAAAAAAGGTTAATTCTTTATAGCATCCTACATTCATATATGTGGACGCCAGAGCTCAAACATCGAAAAATGCATTTTGGACAATATCATTAATTTGAAGAGTAAAATATGCAAAGGAATACCAGAATTAGACATTCCATCGAACGACCCATTTATTCTTGACAAAGTAGCCCTAGCGGATACACAGGGCATCAAATTATATGTCAGAAATGCGCAGATAAGAGGTTTCTGCGACTTCAAGATAAATTCTTTTCATGCAGATATTAATAATTTGCAATATGACATTGTGATTGTATTCGACCAAATCCGAGCGAACACCACTTATGATTTTAATCTAAACGTACTAATACCCATTTCACATATGGGACAGCTTTACATTACTGCAGGTATGTATAAAATAATCAACTTTTTTTATAAATATAAAGTAAAAGTTTAAAAATTTATTTTAATATAATATATCTTATATAATTTTATTTATATTGTTAAACTGTGTGTTTTTACAGACAACGTAGGGGCAAAAATAAACTTACAGTTCAAACTAGTAACCAAAGATGGCAAAAGATTTACATACTTGTCCAAGATAAAGATAAATATCGACATAAAGAAATACAATGCTGAATACGGCGTGGAGGGAGAACAGTTTGCTCAATTGCGCGAAATTATTCAGAACTTTGTAGGCCAGAATCAAGAAGAGATTATAAACAGTCTTAAACCAGCACTAGAAGAGATTGTCTCCAGACGAATCATATCGATTACCAATAACATAGTTAAACATTTTACTTATGAGGAACTTTTCCCAAATAGAACATAAGTCACTTAAAATTTTAATATTCATTATCATAAGATCCTTTCGTGCATTCCATAAAAAAATTTAAAAATTAATAAAAAAATAAGTTATTACAGTGCTTTCAAATTGATGATACAAACGTAATTGCCCATAGATAGAAACATCGTCCATGTCATTAATGGCCAGCATAGATTTATGATTATTTATTAAATAATATTATATTTAATTAGTTTTAACAATAGTTTAATGAAGGAAATTATAATCACCGCCGTTAAACTACTTTGAACGTAACGCTAATGAGAATGTTACGCTAAACTTTATTATTATTTATGAATGACGTAGAAAGAACTACTGACATATTATATGACTCTTTCTTTATATTAAAGAAATAAAAAGGTAAATTGAAAAAGTTAAAATTGAATACTGAATTACAATATATCTGTGATAACTTTAGTAAAGAAAACGTATAGTGACACGTATAATTGACACAATTATGATACTCGTATAATATGTAATATACAAAATAGGCGAAAACTCATTACCTATTGAATGGCGAATTAATACTTTATTGACATTATTAATTAAGCTACATAATTACTTATAAAAATACATTCCAAATTGTTTTTCTTTCTTTTTTAGCAAACATGTTGCAGATTTCAATTAACGTATGTAAATAAAGGATTAAAAACAAGATTACTTTAGCAACTTTAATAAGCAATGAAATGATTTGTGACTTTTAGACTACCCCATATAAGCGATTATAATTATATTTATTTACATTATTATTTCATAAATTGCTGCTACAAAATGCCTGTAAGGTGAATAAATAAAATAATTAATACCTTTTTGCAACTTGTACCAATGTTATAATGCAATTTATTGCAAAGTCATAAATTTTTTAAAATATGAAATCAATTGCTTTTTTATATTATGTATTCTTTTAATTTGTCTTTCTGATTATAATAAATAGTAAGTAGTAGTATATGTGTACATATAATAAGTGTTGTATTGAGAAATATACCACAACATAATATATTAAAGAACTGTACTTAAAGAATTCTGCTATTATTGAACTATTCTGAAACCCACAAAACTTATTTAAAATAGGTGATATTGAAAAAACTTTAAATATTTCTTTTTTGATATTTTAGTTTACACTTAACTACTTAAAATTTTTTAATAAATATCGAAATCTTCTTCTAATAATATTTATTAGTTTGTGTAAACACTATTTGCATCCATTATCTTGATTTTAAATATAATTCGATAAAGCTCCAGTTTAAAAGAGCCTGCTGCAAACCTTGACATATGTTGTCCTTCTGAGTGACCTTTAAAAGGTTTTAGCCATCGCTAGTTGTTTGTTGAAAAGTTATTGACAAAAAAGTTTCATGAATAGAGCATAATTTTATGATATCATATACGTTTACGAAAGAGAAGATTTGATAGAATTTAAATTTTAATCGGTTCAGGTAAGGTAAGGTAAGGTAAATCAGAAATCGGTTCGGGTAAGTAATATTATCCGAAACTGAACCCCGGGGACATACGCATCGTTCTCTGCTCGCTTCGCAGGAGGGGGGGGGGGGAGGGGCAGGGAGAGCAGGGGCTTTGCCTCCCCCCCCCCAGAAGTGTTGTATATTAGGTGATCAAAATCTCTACAGTGAAAACTGGCTCCGGCGAGGCCAAGCCCCTCCGTCCCGGCCCTCCCGCGAAGCGGGCTGAAAATGAGGCGTCAGTGATTTATAGCATCTTAAAATAAAAATTTTAAATTATATGTCTTTCATCTAATGGATACATCAAACACAGTGTCTCAAAGAAAGCAACAATGTGTTTATCAAAATTATATATTCTCTTAAATATTCTTATATATTCTCTTATCTATTCTCTTATATATTCTCTTAAATAAAAATCCAGCAAGGTAATTTGTAAAGTAGTAATCGCGTGCGCCATAGCGAGGAACATTTGCTCTCGTGTCTCCCCACAATCTTTCTATATTCTGTGTATGAACACCTGTTCCTGAAACCACAAAATTCGTTGTATGGTTTACTGTCCGGTATATGTATAATTGTTTTCATAATTTAAAGAAATCATACACACTTGGCACGAGATTGATATAGGTGTGACAATAAAGATATACGATTGAAGAAACCAGAACAGTAAGCTTAGGTGTATGTGAGATATTTGAGTATAGCACACGTCATTCTCGCTTCTGAAATATACACAGTGTCGGAAAACAATGACATATCAATAAAACTTAACTTCTTGTATTAATAATATTTTAACAAACCACGCGCGACGACTAAAACCTTTTAAAGGTCACTCGGGAGGGTGACCTTAACAACATCAAGGTTAAGGTTATTGGAGCAGACTTCCCTAAACATTTTACCTGCAATTGTTCTAATAATACTGTTTTCGGTAATAATTAAAGTCACATGTTTGTCAAAAACTTTATTGAAAAAATTATAAAAATTGAATGTTTAATTAATTTAAATTAGAATATTTTAAAGTAATCGAATAGTTTTTAAATGGAATTTAGACGACAACAAAATTAATCAATTTTTGTGAGATATTCAAGAAACACAAATAAAATAAAGTCTGGTTTATTAGCTGCCAAGACACTTTTCAGTTCGTACTAGTCACTAGGAAGAAAGTGTTGTGTAAATTATACTTGTGATGTATTATTTACCTATGATATTTTAAATTATCGCCCCTTTATTCACATTGGGAAACATCCGCACTTAATTCGTATAGCCTTGGATGTAAATCCGTAATTAAAGTACTATTATTCAACAATGTACGCAATTTTTTATGCCTTGTAGCTATGAATATTCCGCTAGCCGACGTTTCTTCGAAGCAGCGATAATCATTCAAGGTTATATTGACGTAAAGTCAATCGAATATTAAGAGAAAACTAAAAGACTACTGTGACTGTTGTGTCGGATGGACGTGCCTTCAAACACAGTTTCCTCCGACCGATATCCAGAGACGAATGACATTTTTTTACAATTTAATTTTAACTAATCCATATATTTCTTTGAAAAGGACCATAATTCGGATGGTCGAAACGTTGAAATAAATTGTTAAAAAAACTACTCAGCCAGTTTAAAGTCGTTTAATAATTTTTCTATATATATACATATAAAAAAATATATAGCTATGGTATTTTGATTCGCGAATTTCAGGACACCCTGTATATAAGAAAAATAAGATTTTCCATTAAAAATTGAAGGTGACCCTCACATGTCCTGCACGTAACTATTCAAGATCAAATTAATGACGCCAGCTTATGTCAGAAACATTTTCTAATAAAACTCTTCCTTATCGAGATATTCGACAGTGTCCAGACTTTTTCACCCCAAGAATATAGAACTAAAATAAGATTTCTTATTTCATTCTGTATGTGCAAATGCACTACTTAAGATAATAGGCTTATCATGACTCATTGTATAAATTAACGTTTATATAAGTACAACTTTGTATCCAGGTGTACACAATTAGTGACGAACATATAAGAAGTTGATTATTTCGTAGATTAAAAAAGTTTTAATATATGTATGCGGTTGAGGTTAGTATTATACGTCAAAGCAATGTTACATACGTCACAAGCTGGGTGTGTGTGTCACCATTTATATTTATTATTTACATATTACATCTATCAATATATATTTTTAAATTTTTTAAGTACTTTACAGATACTTTTACAGATATACAGTCAAGAATTAAAACGACCTAGGCTGGCAAATCTTTTTATTCAATAAAATTAAATTACGACGTTTCGACCAGTAATACTGGTTCTTTTCAAGTATATCTTACGTTACACCCATCAATTGTTACAGAGTTTTTCTCTGGGCTGGTGTATGACTAGACGTTTGTCTGCCGGTGTGCGGAGTGATGTAATCGATCTCTGTATTTCGATGGATATTTATTTATTTTTTATGTACTACGACACGTTTTCCTATCTTTTGCTGTAACAATTGATGGGTGTAACGTAAGATATACCTACTTGAAAAGGACCAGTATTACTGGTCGAAACGTCGTAATTTAATTTTATTGAATAAAAAGATTTGCCAGCCTAGGTCGTTTTAATTCTTGACTGTATATCTGTAAAAGTATCTGTAAAGTACTTTAAAAATTCAAAAATGTATATTGATAAATGTATTATGTAATAAATATAAATGGTGACACACATAGATCTAATTTCCATAAAACTACTTTTCCAGATTATTATGAACGTGTCTATAAATTTTTTTCATTCTTATCAACGTTTCATTCTAGCTAAATGAGTAATGTTAAATAAATAATAAACTTGAATTTTCTGTATAAAAACTTTAAGTACCCTATTAACACCTGTGTACATATGTTCTTATAGCTTGCTTTGTTGCCATAAAAAATTCGTTATATTGACGTCGATTCGATATTGTTTCGACGTCGGTCGATGAGTCATTTATGACTGGGATATATATTATCAAACTTGTGCAAAATTTCTTTGAGTATTTCTTTAATGTAAACTTTATTAAAAGAAAATGGGTACATTTACATATATTCCTTTGTAGAAAATCTGAAAAAATTAAATTTTATTAATTATTTTATATAATTAATTATATTTTGTATTTATCCTTTTTCTCCTTACGTTTCTGTTGTAATTATGATCTAAGAAATATCACATTTGGTCTAAAAGGTCAAAAAGGTTTTTCAATTTAATAAAATTAAAGCATTCCGAATATTGATTATTTTCAAATGACGTTTCAAGAGAAATAAAATTAATTGTTTAACATCTCTCACTATGCGAAAAAATTGTCTCTAAAAAAAATCCTCTTTAAAACCTCTTTAAACATGTTTCAGTCTTTTATTCCTTTTATTTGTACAATTTTATTTTTAGCATTGATGTTACAATACTTTTTTGATTATAGTGCAATATATATTTTTTTATAAAATTGGGTATTTATTGGGTTTTTTGCCAATTTTGCCGTTTGAAATTTACTTGATTTTCGGCACAGACTTATGCACAGACCCGATATAAAGTACGCGTAAATGTAACATTTGCCAATGCCCACAGCTTTATAAGTTTCTATTTAAATAGGATATTTATCTACGCTATATGTATTAAATATATTGTTATATAATAAAAATGTTCTTTATTTTCGATGAAAGAAGATCGCTATAATCGCAATCATTATGAACGCATAAATAGTTAATATAAGCGTTAGAATGAATCACTATTAGAAAAACAAGGAGGAAAAATACTAATTGGCATAAAACAGGCTCCATATAAATATGGCTGAACGTATAATGCATCAGTCTTGATTGTACTCGGTTCTTAAGAAGTAAAAATTCCGCGATATCTGCTATCTAAGCATAATACGGCTTCCATAGTATAATCTTAAAATGTATGCAAGAACAAATTCGTTATTTCAAAACATGTTTGCTGCAACTTTTGCTTTTGCGCTTATAATGGGGTGTATTGCGGAAATACGTAAGTAAATTAAAGATATGTGTATACTTATTTTTATTACAACACGTGAGTACAATTCTTTCCGTATCATACGTGAGAAACTCATAATACTATTTAAACTGTAAAACTTGAGAAAAATGTCCTATTAAATCTAATCGGATAATCCTATTACATAATAACAAATGGATATATCCGATGAAAATGTATATCCGATGAAGAACATGATCGGACATATCCGATCAACAAATATCCGATTAAAATATCCATTATTAAAAAATATAATAGATAAATGGATCTGATTAAATATGTAATACGATGTTAAAAATTATCAGGTAAAGTATGAAACGTGGAAGAGTGAAATAAAGAGGGAAAATTGAAATTAATAAATGTTAGACGTAAGATATATATTTTTAAATGA